ATGTGATTTGGCAAAGCAAAGCTGGCATGATTAGTACATAATGGAGAATATGCCACACAACTAACCAACAGGCATGCATTCAAAAATGAAGGCCAACTGAGTGAAGCAGCGGTCAGCTGAAATGTTCACCTGATGACTGCCTTGGTTTGCATGCAGTTTCTCAGTTGAGAACATAAGAAGAGCTCCACTGGATCAGGTCCGGGGCTGACATAGTTCAACATCATGTTCCCAATAGCCAACCAGATGTCTATGGGAAATGCACTAGTAGGACCTGAGCACAACAGTGCTCTTCTCTCCCTTCTCCTGTCCTGATTCCCAGCAGCTGGTACAGTGGTACCTCTGGTTACGTACTTAATTCGTTCCAGAGGTCCGTTCTTAACCTTAAACTGTTCTTAACCTGAAGCACCACTTTAGCTAATGGGGCCTCCTGCTGCCACTGCGCTGCCGCTGCATGATTTCTGTTCTCATCCTGAAGCAAAGTTCTAAACCTGAGGTACTATTTCTGGGTTAGCGGAGTCTGTAACCTGAAGCGTCTGTAACCTGAAGCATATGTAACCTGAAGCGTATGTAACCTGAGGTAGCACTGTACTACATTTTTTTAGATTTGCCTTGATACAGTCTTTAAACCTCTTTTGTTGACCACCAGCATTACGCTTTCCATTTTTAAGTTCGGAATAGAGGAGTTGCTTTGGAAGATGATCATCAGGCATCCACACAACATAACCAGTCCAACGAAGCTGATGTTGAAGAATAATTGCTTCAACACTTTACTATTTCTGGGTTAGCGGAGTCTGTAACCTGAAGCGTATATAACCTGAAACGTATGTAACCCGAGGTACCACTGTACTCAGTCACATACTGCCTCCATTAGTGGAGATAAAACATATCCCTTGTGGCTAGTAGCTGTTAAGAATCTTACATTCCTTGAATTTGTCTAATCCTCATTTAAAGCCATCTCTGTAAGTGGCTAGCACTATTCATGTGGGAGCAAATTCCATTGTTTTAACTGTGCACCATGTGAATAAGTAATTTCTTTTGTCCATATTCCAGTGTTCAGCTTCTTTGGATGTTCGGGAGAGAGGGAGAAGAGCCTTTCTCCATCCACTTTTGCCCCATGATGCAGAATTGTATACACCTCTATCATGTCCAGTCTTGCTCTCCTCTTCTCTAAACTTAAAAGTCCCAAACATTGTAAGCTTTCATCATTCATTATGCGATTTTGAATTTGAGCACAGGAAACTTGTAGAAGCATTTGCCATTTTGTTATGCATTAATGTGAAATTCACTGCTTGGTATGGATAAATTTGAAAGTATGGCAAACTGGCTTATGCAACTAGCAGCTGAATGATTGTCCCCTGTGCTACTTCTACATCTTTTTTCATCTCAGATTTGACTGAAAAGTGCTCTCTGAGAGAGCTACTGTGCTCTTTCAACAAAGCTGCAAGGATGAAGTAGCCAGTAGGGACCCTTACAAAATTTTCCCCACCCAAATTTCCTTTAAGATTTCAGTATTCTCAGTTTTCCAGTGATGTTTGCAGAGCAACACTGACACATTGACAATCTGCCATCCATCTGTTCTATTTTTAAATTTCCAGACTTTGTGCAGACTTTGCCATAGTTTGCGGTTCCTTTTGTTATTCTATGCCCTTCAGGTTATTGATGTGCTTGTTGAGCACATGCTCATTGAGGAAACAAAGCACAAAAAATAATATATGTGTTTATTGGGAAGCGTAGACATGAGTGAACTGAAAACCATGGCCAAATGTACATGCACCAGTTCAGGAATTCATTTTAGAAATTATCTCTACTAGGGACTCAGCTAGATTGGTAAAGAAAAAGCATTTTATATGTGTTGTATATGCAATATAACACTGTGACACCAGATGGCACTGTGGACTCCCGTCTTTCCCAACCAGATTTCCCTGTATGAGTTTACAACACGTTTAACCGAAATGCTTCTTTGATGTGTCGAGATCCAGCCTAAGTCAGAAGAGTGATAGAGTAGAACATGGAGAAGTGGTTACACATGGAACAATAACAGAGCAAAATGTCAGGTGTCTGGTAACTACAGTGTATAGACAGAGACCATCTGGTGTGAGTAAGAATTGTTTAGGCAATGGCAACTGGTGTGGGAAGCCAACGCTAAGCTTCTGATCAGATCCTGGTGGGAAGAGACTCCTAGATTGTATTTGGGGGGGGGGCTCTTGTGGGAAGAGGTGCTTCTTCTCTGCACCAGTTAGGTAGTGGCAAGCTGCAAGAGAGGCAGTGACAGCCATAAGAATGAACTAGGTTAGAGGCTTACAATAAACATCAAATATCAAAATGCAGCATTATTGTCAAGGTGTATGTATCTATCAGGGACTATGCACTTGCTAAAATCTACGCAGTTGTGAGTTTGCATTTTGCATTGGCATCTGTAGCTCTAGTTCAGCTCTCATCCACTTGGCAGCATCTACCCAGGCCTCCATCATATTCTGTTTCCCATGTGGTTTCTTATGGTAGACCTTTGCATTGGTGACTGAATATGATTTTCCAGCTAGACTAAATCATAGCTTTACCTATCTCTGCCTTTCACTGAATTGTGAAGTGAGGCTTCTCTGAGCTATCAGAGCTTGTTTTACACAGATGATGCAGAGCAGTTGAGTATAAAGAGGGATCTATCTAATCATATCCCATTCTTTCCCACCTTTTTTCCCATAAATTCGTCCAAAAGGGTATTATTAGTTTGGGGTCTGTATGGTTCCTGGGTGCTGATGCAGTGGCTAAGAAGTCCTAGTATTTTCCCTACTACTCTCATGGCTTGTCTTTCTAGAGGGGTAGCTATTAGTCTGTTGCAGCAAAAGAGACAATCAGGAAATCTGTGATACCTTAAAGACTAACAAATTGACTTTGGTCAACATAGCTTTGCTTGACAAGATCCCACTTTCTTAGATGCTCTGTCAACTATGTCTTGTTTGCCCAAAATAAGGGGAAGATAAAAATATGTAATTAAAATAAGTAACTCTTTCAGTACACAAATCAACACTGTTTGGCTATTTATGAGAAAGTGATTATAAAAGAAAGAAAAAAAAACAGAATCAGCAGAGGGTGTATAGATGGATTTACTGTGGATACACAAGCTTGATTTTTTGCTTTATTATACTGAAAATACTTCTCATACCTGATGGGGAGAAAATAACATTGCAGTCCTGAACATTCCTGCCCAAAAGTAGGACCTATTGACATCAAGGAACTTAAGACTGCAGCCTAATGCTCTAAGATTAGCAACAGCCACAGATTGTGAGCAGGTCATTTTTATGTTTCTCCTAGAAAGTGCAAGCGCCTGTTGCTGAGCAGGAGCAGGGCAGATGAAGATTCTTCTAATTCATGAATATGCAATCTCTAGCCAGGAGACCCACTGAGAATGAGGATATTTTCTAGTCACTCAAAGGCACATTGGTTTGCACTTCTGTGCTCAGTCAACTAAACAATGTCTTATATCAAGCCTTTAAAAGCTTCATTTAAATAAAATTTTGCATATGTAAGTGAGACTGCATTACGTTAATATGCCATTTTGATCGCAGTCCCGATTTGGGAACGGAAGGAAAGTGATATTTTATCCATCACAGCCTCAATATCTTTTTTGAAAAGTATGAACCTGGCAGTGTCATGAATATGTTTTATTCTAAGATATTCTATTTTACTAGTGAACCATTTCATTATTTTTACCATAAAATTGTGCTGCACTAGACTATGTGACTGTACTAGGCTGCAAGATACCAGCTATGGAAGGAGAGAGGAGGACTTGAAATCTGGGGGAATACAATGTATTATAATGGCTAACCCATTCTTTGTATAATTAAGTGATTTTTCCACTCGATATACTTTTTAATTACCATCAGCATTGTCCTAGGTACAGCACAGACTATGTATGTATGTGGCGCGCACACGCTCGCACACACACATATATTGTGCTTTTTTCTGGGGGACACAGGGGGCGCATACCCCTAAATATTTTGTGAATCTAAGTTGGGCTCATTGAGGGACAGTATTTTAATATGAGTAGGAAAATGAGAGTACCCCTAAACATTTTTTTAAGAAAAAAGCACTGTATATACACACCACACACACACACACACTCCACATATACATACCCCAAATATCTGACTGGGTTGACCCAGCCACTCTGAGTGGCTTCCATCAGAATATACAAAGACACAACAGAATATCACACATTAAAAGCTTCCCGATACAGGACTGCCTTCAGATGTTTATGGATGGTCATATATTTATTTATTTGACATCTGATGGGAGAGTGTTCCATAGGGCGGGCACCACTACTGAGAAGACCCTCTGCATGGTTCTATGTAACCTCACTTCTCACAATGAGGGAACCACCAGAAGGCCCTTAGAGCTGGGCTGAATGATGGGGGCAGCGACACTGCCCAGAAAACTTACAGCCCCATCCTCCCAGCAAAGATAAGCAAGACTGCAATAACGGCAGGAATTAACAACGGTAAACGCAATGGGAGTAGGGACAAGTTGGGTAGTAGTGAAGGAGATGTCAAAGGAAGGCCGAGGAATTTCAGGAAAGCCTTTTCTGAGGAGGAGGTGAGTCTTCAAGGAGCAACATAAAGAGAAGGAAACAGCTTAGCAAATAAAGAGGCTCAAGCTCTTTGAAGGATAGGGGCAAGGAGCAAATCATGTTTCCTTTGTCAAGGGTGCCATTATTCCAGCAATTAATATATGCTATAGTATGTCCCAATATAGTCTTGAATATGTAAAATCTGGTGCTCAAGTACTGCATGTTTGCAGCGAAAATGAAAGTGACATCACCTGGCCTGTCTGAATAGTTTCCATGTTACTCTGAGGATTACAGGAGCAGAGCTTCTGGCATCAAAATGAGTTAGGTTAAGGTTTATATGGGTAGATTCAAGAAGGCTCTTGCTTTGTTGGTCTGGGAAGCTTCCCTGAGCTAGGCCTTTTTGGATCTTGGTCTAGGACAGGCATCCCGAAACTCGGCCCTCCAGATGTTTTGGGACTACAGTTCCCATCATCCCTGACCACAGATCCTGTTAGCTAGAGATGATGGGAGTTGTAGTCCCAAAACATCTGGAGGGCTGATTTTGGTGATGCCTTTTCTAGGATCACATAGCTCTCTTGGCTCAAGGACTGGAAATCTCTCCAGCTTTGGTCTGTTCTATTTTTACTGTTGCTCTATTGAAAAAAAAATCAGTAAAGATTTAAAAAGAGGTAGCTTCTTTGGGTTTATGGCCCACTGAAGACAGCACTGGGTTTTTTTAGTCAGGTGATAAAGTTTTCTGGGTCCTATACTGAGACACTGGACATATGAAACCAGATTTAGACCAGGGTGTGGCCCTAGAAATGTTCCAGCTCCCATTAGCCCAAAGCAGCATGGTCAAACTTAATGGGGAACTGTAGTAACATTAGGCAAGCCACCCCTATTTTACATTAAAAAAAAACACTATTCAAGCATTCTACCTGTATGTAAAACCAACACATGAGCAGGAACAAGTGCGCTAAGCTATGTCCCTTGTGCTTAGCATATTTGGTCCTGCTTTCCCTGCTTGAGTTTTGATTTTTAGACATGATTAGAATATCTCAACAGGGCTATCGTTGGATGGTCCATCTAGCTCAATATTACCTATTTTGGCAACAGTTCTCCATGGTTTCAGGTGAAGACATTTCCTGACTCTGCTATGGGATGCAGAGATTGGACCTCAGATCTTATGCATACAAAGAATAACCTCTGTGGCTGAGCTTTTTCAGAAAATTTTCTGAGAGCTAAAAATGCTAAGCGAATACCAAATTAAACCAAGAGGAGTTCACTCATTAAAATGATATACAGAACACTAATGCTGAATGCACACAACTAAAAAAAAGAGGAGGTCTTATGATTTTCATAAGCCCCCAGTAAACACACTGTCAGTTTCTAGATATTCATGTCAATGGAAACAGAAGCTTTCAAACTGACAATGTTCAATCGATCTGCTGTCAGGCAATAAACAGTGCTAAATGGTATAGAGCTTATCTATGAACAAAGAATTGATCACCACAGTAAATCCAAAGTTCTTGGAGAAAACTTATCTCTGATACTTAACATATGAGTTATAGAGGCAAACAACATATTCTCAGCAAAGTCTATAAATATCTGATTTTCCTGGTCTGAAAAAGATATGATGTTTTCTCTGAGAGTTATTTCATTTTGCTTTTCTTTCTTTTTTTTGACATAGATATTAATCTCTATGTCAGAAAAAGTGCATTATCTCATCAGGCACAAAGTCTGGACTGTTCCCCCCCCCCCCCAATCCCAGGTTCATGTGTTAGAAATCTGATGCGTGAACCCAGGGCAAGAAGCAGTCTGTTATTCATATTTTATTAGATACTAGCTTCCCCCAATGCAAGTGTAAAATCACGGGAGTAGATTGCAGGTGGACTCTTGTGAAAGGGCTACTGTTGCTCAGGGTCACTAGGCCAAAAAACCTGGCCTTGGCCCAGACTGAAGGCCATTACCGTCTGGCTTGCTCTTAAGAACATGGGAAGCTCCTTTATATGTCAGTACAGGGCCAAATTTAGGTTTGATGAGGCCCTAAGGGTAATGGGGCCCTTTATATGTCCAGCTGTCCTTTGTCAACAACAAATTGTTGCTGTTTTTTGTGTTGAATATATGCTATATGGTAATCTATGGACCTAATAGGTATCTAAAGCCATTTGCACATAACAAAATATGTATTTTATCAAAGTAATTGTTGAACTGAAATACAATTAAAGGTAAAGGTAAAGGACCCCTGCAGATAAGTCCAGTCGCGTACAACTCTGGGGTTGCGGCGCTCATCTCGCTTTGCAGACTGAGGGAGCCAGCGTTTGTCCACAGGCAGTTTTTCTGGGTTATGTGGCCAGCATGACTAAGCCGCTTCTGGCGCAATGGAACAACAAAACCAGAGCAGCGCACAGAAACACCGTTTACCTTCCTGCCAGAGCAGTACCTATTGATCTACTTGCACTGGTGTGCTTTCGAACTGCTAGGTTGGCAGGAGCTGGGACTGAGCAACGGGAGCTCACCCCATCACGGGGATTCAAACCACCAACCTTCTGATTGGCAAGCCCAAGAGGTTCAGTGGTTTAGACCACAGCACCACCCACGTCCCTGAAATACAATTAAGAAGAAGTATATTAATAGTGAAATACAGCTAAGAAGAAGTATATTTTTTGGGAGGTCCAACTGCTGATCAATCTGATTTTGCAGCACACCTAACATGGATGCACAACTAGAAAGCCACATTATACTGTTAAGATGCTGTTATTGTTTTTAATTAGAACTTCTGGTTTAGTTCTATATTACTAAACCAGAGAGAGTGCACAAAAAATAGAAGGTCCTACCAGCATACTTTGGTCGTAATATATGATGGCCCCTGTTGACCCTGAAGTTGCTTTCATCAGAAGTGCAAGCATGGGATTGCTGTGAACAAAAGTATCAGCTGATCCATCAGATTCATGTAATGAGTCCAGTAGTCACTGACTGTGCATCTAGCAACTTCAAAACATTCTAGGTTAGTTTCTAGGCTGGGTAGATCTCTCATTTGGTCCAACAGAACCATTTAAATGCCCTTGTCTTATTCATTTCTCATTACAACCTGCACATGTTTTGATATTCATAATAATGATGTAGTCCTTCAGTTAAGGAATACTTAAATACAGCCAACCATTTTGAGAAGCCTTTGCTTCTTCACCATTGTGAAAAGTTTAGGCTCCCTTGACTATGAGAGCCCAGGGTGTTTAATGAGAGGAAACAAGACACAGAATGGTGTATTATCCCTCTGGCACTGTGCCTTTCCCCCCTCCTCAATATCTCGTTTTGTCTGCTGTGTTTCACCTTCCCTGAGCAAAATGCATTGTCAGCATGACAGAACAAAGCTCTTTGGAAAAAAGGGGAAAGAGGAGGAAGAAGCTGCTGTCTGAAATCTAAGCCCTCATGCAATATACTGTGCATCAACCGCAGACAAGTTAGGAATGTCTCTGTTTTGTCATTGTTTCCCCCAGCTTTCCCAGGGGACAGCTATCAGAACGACAACCTCCTACAGCTCAACCATGCATTGCTTCAGTGATGGGATGTCAGAGAGAAAGGGCTTATTTTGCAGTCTACCCAGTAAAAATGAAACAACCCCCCCCAAAAAATATCTTTCCTAGTAGGAATAGCCTCTTTTACTGTCTTAAAGAGGGACTAAAGGTTAATTAGGGGTGGCCAGCAGCTGTTAATTGCCTAACCAGAGCTAAATATATTCTTAACAGCTGGTTAAAAACAAAACTCGTATGTATGTATGTATGTATGTATGTATGTATGTGTTTAGTTATAGGATCCTTCAACAAGTTTTCAGGTTAGGTTATTATGAAAAAGGTATTCTGTAAGGAGCTACTGGAGAGTTGAAAGGCCTACATCAGGCATAGGCAAACTCAGCCCTCCAGATGTTTTGGGACTACAACTCCCATGATCCCTAGCTAACAGGACCAGTGGTCAGGGATGATGGGAATTGTAGTCCCAAAACAACTGGAGGGCCGAGTTTGCCTATGCCTGGCCTAGATCCTTCAGTGTATATGAGGGGAGAGTATCTAAATCAGTTGTTGTTTAGTAATAAGGAAAGAAAATGTTATTTGTGTTTGTTCCAGGGTCCAAACATGATTTTTTTTTGAAAAAATACACTGGAATTAAACAGATTCCAGAATCTAGGGTGATAAGCGCAAATGAAATCCTGAAATGGAAACCATTTTACTATGGTTTGGGCTGGTTTTGTGCTTAGTTTTTTGTACACATGAAATTGGCAAATGTTTGTAAGTCCCCTGATCCCTAGGAAGGAGAAGCATATAACTTGAACATAGCCAATGCTGGAGGCAAGTATGAAAGTGGAGGAGTCTGAAAATACCCCACACAACTTAGGAACCTAGAAACAGGAGTTGGCATCAATTGAGCACTATGTACATGAAAGGGGAATCAGGAAGGCAGTGAGACAGAGAAGCCAAATAGCTAGAGAGAAATCAGGGGAGGGGGCACCACTGAATTTTCCACATTGGTTTTGTACTCATCAGCTAGAAACTCTGGTTGGCAGGCCACTTCTAAGATATATATTGTATTTTTAGTATGTTGAAAATGTGGGTTGATGGGTGAGCAGAGACTTTACTGCTTGGAAAGATATTGCACAGATTAAATAGAGGATTTTATAGACCCAACAACCATCATGTATCAATCCATCAAAAATTCTTCTTTCCCCTCTTTGTAAAAGAGGGATAGATAGAGGAGCTTTTAGGAAAAAAGACGAATAATTGATGGAGTAACTGGTGCAGGGAATAATAGTTATACATGCAATAATTAATACAAGGACTTGTCAAGGGCCACATTCCCTTTTGTTCTGAGGGCCACAGCATGGGTGAGGCCAATTGTAAATTTTACCATTGTACAGCAGGCTAGTTTCTATATACACATTCTCCTCTCTATTCTCCATCACGACAAGCAAGATGCATTATCAGAGTTCCAAAGAACATTCCAGCCAGGCAGAAACACTGATAGAGGATGTGAAGCAGGGCTGGTTAGAGGTGTGGCCTGGAAAGAGACTCTAGGGCCAGATAGGTAGTTTTGGAGGGTCACATTCAGTCCCTGAACTTGTGGCTCCCCACTCTAAGCTTGAGACACTGTAGCTAAAAACCACTTGCAGAATTCAGATATCTGTTTTTTTTAAAAAAAAACAACAACACCAGGATAAGAAAACAAAGACACTAGTTGTTACTGCTGTAAAGTAATTACCATAGAATTATCAGCTTTAAGGTAAACCTAATCATGTCAGAATAACTGGAACAATAAATGGTCATGCCAAACCTGTTTTTGAATCACAAAAAGCTATTTCTCATTTGTTTTCCCCTCTGCTTTAATCATCCAGCAGATTCTACAATTAACTAAGACACTTGTTGACAACAGAATTAAATGCAGCTTCTTTGGGTTTAATTCTGAAATTTGTTACCCAGCAGATGTTTGTCTAAGTACCCAAAACTCAAGAGAGATGTTTATTGATGGCTGCCTGTGATCTCAAATAAGTGTGATATTTGCAACAACA